CTGCCACCACCGCTACCCCGGGGCTCCGGCAGCGGGGCTCTGGCGGTGATTTAAAGGGCCAGGGGCTCCAGCCGCTGCCAGGAGCTGAGGGCCCTTTTAAATTGCCGGCCTGGGGAAGCTTCCCCCTGGGGTAGCGGCAGTGGCCGGGAGCTCTGGGGCTCCGGTGGCGATTTAGAGGGCCCAGGGCTCCTGGCTGCTGCTACCGCAGCCAGAGCCCCAGGCCCTTTAAACCACCGCGGGAGCCCCAACGTAACAGCGGCGGCAGGGAGCCCTTGGGCGCCGGTGGCAATTTAAAGGGTCCGGGGATTTAAAGGCCCCACCCCTTCTGCCAGAGGCCCCGCCCCCAGTTTGCTCAGGACCCTGGCCGACGTACCGGTAAGTCCATTAAATTACTTTCACCCCTGGACCAGGGGTAACTTAATGATCACTGGGTGTGCTCCTCAGCTGTGGGCAAGTTTCAGGCAGTAAATAAGTGGCGAATATTGTCTCGGTGAGCGTGTGCGCTCAGGTAGGCAAGTGGGCAGAGGTGACTATTAAAGCTGGTCAACATTTTCTGTGCAGAGTGTTTTCCCACCAAAAACATCGTGTTTCATCAACACGGAAAACTTTTCAAGGGAGGGGGAAAAAAAATCCATTCTGATGAAAGGTCTTGTTTTCTTCTGCAGGGAATTGAGAAACACACACTTTCCATTGGAATAAACATTTCTCAATGAAATAAACCATTTTTATTTTGCTGTGACGTAAACAGGCATTTCCTTTTGTTTTCGTCCCGTTTAAAATCAAAAGAAAGAGCAGACAACAAAATAATCAAAATGCCGACACAAAACCAATATGCACCTTTCCTTTCTTTGGAACCTTTGGTTTGCTTCCGGTTACCTCAAAACCAAAACCAAACCGCCTTGTGTTTCCAGGGGTCGATTTGAAACCAAAATGTTCTATCTCCACATTCCCCATGGGTGGGGGGGGGATAAATTTTGCATTCAACATGTCTCGCAGGAAAAATTAGGGTTTTCAGACCAACTCCAGGGAATATGATCAGTAAGCGTGCCCCAGGAAAGAGCTGGGTGTGTTCCTCCTCCTGCCAGGGTGGGCTCCCCCGGGCCTGGGCGGGAGGATTTGGTGCCTCCCCTGGCAGGGGCATGTCTTTAAGCTTCACCATCCCCAGGATTCAGCCCCTCTGTGGAGCGGGCATCTCCCTAGGCTTCCCCTTCCCCGGGCTGTGCCCGGCCTGGGGCCAGGCCACCTGCCCCTCTCTGCGCACAGATCTTTACGCGTCCCTGCCCGGCGCTGGGCACCTTCCCCTGGGCTCCACCGCCCTGGGCTCCTTCTCCGGGGCAGCCCCGGGGCTTGCCCGCCACTGGGCTGCATGGCCACCTCCCCCCGGGCCGGGCACGCCCTGTCCCGGGCCGGCACCCGGCTCCCTCCCCGGCGCGGGGCGGTCCGTGGGCGGCCCCGGCGCGCAGCGACTGGCGCTGGGCGGCGCCCGGGCTGGGGGCGGATTTTTTGAGCCGAGCCCCGGCGCTCCTCGCTAGAGCGGCGGCGGCTGGCGGCGGCGGCGGGCGAGTCTCTCTCGCTCTCCGGCCGGGCCAGGCGGCGGCGCCCCCCCCCGCTGCCCTATGGACGAGCACCGGAGCCTGCTGCGCTCGCCGGCCGCCTCCTCCTCCAGCAGCCACCACAACCCGGGCTACACCGAGCCGCCGCCCCCCCCCGAAGCCCCCCAGCCCGGCCCCGAGCAGGAGGAAGCCGAGGAAGAGGAGGGCGGCATGACCGTGGTGGTGGGTGGGGGGGACCCCCTCCTGGAGGAGCCCCAGCACCCCCACCCGCTGCTGGCGGGGGAACGCTACGACCCCCCCCCGGCCCACGTCCCACCGCCCCCCGGCCGCCCCCGGCGGGGGGCGGGGAGCACGAGTGCTGCGAGCGGGTGGTGATCAACATCTCGGGCCTGCGCTTCGAGACCCAGCTCAAGACCCTGGCCCAGTTCCCCCAGACCCTGCTGGGCGACCCCCGCAAGCGGATGCGCTACTTCGACCCCCTGCGCAACGAGTACTTCTTCGACCGCAACCGGCCCAGCTTCGACGCCATCCTCTACTACTACCAGTCCGGGGGCCGCATCCGGCGCCCGGTCAACGTGCCCATCGACATCTTCTCCGAGGAGATCCGCTTCTATCAGCTGGGCGAGGAGGCCATGGAGAAGTTCCGGGAGGACGAGGGCTTCATCCGCGAGGAGCAGAGGCCCCTGCCTGATAAGGAATTCCAGCGCCAGGTGTGGCTCCTCTTTGAATACCCGGAGAGCTCCGGGCCGGCCAGAGGCATTGCCATTGTCTCAGTCCTCGTCATCCTCATCTCTATCGTCATCTTCTGCCTGGAGACCCTGCCTGAGTTCAGGGACGACCGTGACTATGAGGGGACAGGGGGGACCTTCGGCACGAGCAGCGGCCCCTTGGCGATGGACGTCTTCACCAACTCCTCCTCCTCAGCTGTCTCGATGGTGTCATCCTTCACCGACCCCTTCTTCGTGGTGGAGACACTGTGCATCATCTGGTTCTCTTTTGAGTTGCTTGTCCGCTTCTTTGCCTGCCCCAGCAAAGCCACCTTCTCCAAGAACATCATGAACATCATCGATATTGTGGCCATCATCCCCTACTTTATCACCTTGGGCACGGAACTGGCGGAGAGGCAGGGGAATGGCCAGCAAGCCATGTCCCTGGCCATCCTTAGGGTCATTCGGCTTGTCCGGGTCTTTCGTATCTTCAAGCTCTCACGACACTCCAAAGGGCTGCAGATCCTGGGGCAGACCCTCAAGGCCAGCATGAGGGAACTCGGCCTCTTGATATTTTTCCTCTTCATTGGTGTCATCCTCTTCTCCAGCGCCGTATACTTTGCAGAGGCGGATGACCCCACCTCAGGCTTCAGCAGCATCCCGGATGCCTTCTGGTGGGCGGTGGTGACCATGACCACAGTGGGCTATGGGGACATGCACCCAATTACCATTGGGGGCAAAATTGTGGGGTCCCTCTGTGCCATTGCCGGGGTGTTGACCATTGCCCTTCCTGTGCCTGTGATAGTCTCCAACTTCAACTATTTCTACCACCGGGAGACCGAAGGCGAGGAGCAAGCCCAATATCTGCACGTAGGGAGCTGCCAGCACCTCTCCTCTATGGAGGAGTTGAGGAAGGGGCGTAGCAATTCCACCCTGAGCAAGTCGGAGTACATGGTGATAGAGGAGGGGGGAATCAACAACACTGCATTCAAACAGGCTGCCTTTAAGACGGGCAACTACACAGCTACAAACAATCCCAATTGTGTGAACATCAAAAAGATCTTCACTGATGTTTAAAAAAAAAAACACCCAAGCCTCCGAGGAAATGTTGAAATAATAATAATGCAAAGTGACCATGTAATCAGTATTATCTGGAACATGCATCATCATTGGTCTGTGTGCGCTCTTGTTTTACATCTATATTTTTTAGATCATTCGTTTTAAAGAACAAAGAAGAGGATTACAAAATAATTGGAAGATAAGAGGATGGGGGTGGCTGCGGAAAGGAAGATAATACGCTCCCCGTTGAAACAGGTGTTTATTCTGCAACACATTGCAGGGCTGCTTTGTGGGGGTTTTTTGTGGGCAGCTTGCCTCTTTTCTCGCTTTTGCAAAGAGTCGCTGTGTAGCCGATTTCCCTTTCCATCACACACACATGCACCTGTTGGACTGAAAACCGTGAGTCAGAAGGGAAGAAAATAACATTATATTGCAGAGCCTGTTTGCAGGCACGGGGAGGGAATAACCATTTAATTTTGCAAAGCATCTCTGCTACCACATTGCTAAATGATGCTTAATATTGAACGTGTGGTGCATGTCCTTTATGGGCACCTTTGATTTCTTTTCTTCCCCAGCCAGATCGTCTATGAAATTCTAATGTGTTCAGAAACCCAAGTATAATCAGTTTCGATTTAATCAGAAAAATGCCCCCATTCTCTATTCCTAATTCCCTTCTCCCACAACCGTATGGAATTGTTTCATCCAACCCGAAATTCCTGGCTGCATGGTGTGTATGGGGAAATGTTCTTCCCACATGGAAAGGTTTAACAATTGACTAACCAAACAGCATCCTGAGTGTTTGAACATCCTATGATGCCAATGCAGATTGGGGATAGTTAGGCTCCCATTAAATCAGTAATGGGCTTTTTGAAGCGACTGCAGCCTCAAACAAAACCTATCAAGAGCCTAGAAACAAAGGGGGGGGGGCGGGCATTTCTGTCCATTTCCAATGCATCTGAGATAAGCGTCTGCATCTATCACAAGAAGATTAAAGTGACAAAATCCTTCCAGCGGAAGTTACTAATTCGGACCTGAGTGATGCAGTTTCCATAGCAACCCTGGTTTCCTGGGAAACCCCAAAAGGTTGTCATGGTATCCCTTCACCGCATCCCCCTTCATCCTGTGCTGTTTCCACAGTAACCCTTCCAGATGGTTCCAACTTCTGTGATTCCACGGAAAAGCCGCTGCCCTGGTAAACCGCACACACACATACAGAGAGTTAATCCTGGAGAGATTTAGGAGTAGAAAGTAGTCATTATCCTAGATGCATGCATGGTTCTTTAGATCTGAAACATTCCTGAAGTCCTGGTACCTACCGAATCAAGAAGCAAAATGATCATCCCTGGAATGCTGCTGCGCACATGTGCTGAATAAAACACCTGTTCATAGGCAATAAACGCAACAAACCTCCAAATTACCCTTGCTATCCAGTTAATATTTGGGCAGTAAAACTGAAAATTAATTCTCTATATGCAAATCCATACATCTGCTCAGAAGTTCTAGAAAGGCGATCTCATCCCTGACGGAATAAACCGTACTTAAACGCATGGTACGTGACCGAGATTTTTTTAAAAAACCCTCCCTCCAACACCAAACAGCAATTCCACTCGCAACCGTATACGGAACCGAACAACCAGACAGGAAACTTCTTAACGCAAAAGGATATCAATCTTTTGACCCTGGGGATGTGTGGATGGGGAGTAAGCAGAGATCTGTAAAGTGCAGGGGTGCAAAGTAACCAAAACCCTGTGGGAAAACATGCCTGCCTTGTCTCATCCAAGTCAGCCGCTGTGGAACATCAGACAGAAACAGGTGAGTTGTGCGCTGTGGAGAGAACAGATTATGCACCCTAAGACATTTGTGCTTTCAGATATAGACCTCATGTCTTTGTCCCAAACACAGCATAAAGCCCTCCCTTTATGCACATGCACATGAGCTAAAGTGGAAAAATCTTTTCCATAAGAGTCCCCTGACTATTTTTTTCCCAGCTAAACTGTCTGGTCTTAGTTTGATTTTTCATATTGTTTGGTTTAAATAATATGTATTTAGTTTAAATAGCACGACGCATACTCATTGTGCGGCGAAGCAGCGATACTGTTTGTGGCTTTGTTCACCCATAGTATGCTGAAATTACGGTTTCCACAATGGTTTAGTTCACTTGGTCTTGGATCACTTTTAAAAAGAAAATCCAGTGACAACCTATTCCGCCCTGGAAAGATGCAAGCTTGAAGTGTCAGCAGTAAGGGCCCGATTAAGATGTGCTTAAGTCCCACTGAAGTGAAGTGCTTTGCTGAATATGGATGGGTTTAAGCACATGCGTAAGTGTTTTGCTGAATTGGAGGAATTTGTCTAATTTACAGCAAAATAATGTAGAAAGGAATGGGACAGGGCAGGTTATTACAGGCAAATAATTATCTGATTTTAATTATAAGCTCAGAGTTTTCATAAATTTATAAGATGGTTTTATTCTTTACAACATTCTTGGAGCCAGGATTTCACTCATGATTTACATGTGGTCTTCTGTTCTGATCTTATTTAAATTTACCCCTTTGCCGTCATCCTCTTTTTAGCCCCCCCACCCTTTTCAATTAATAAAACCTTTGAGAAAATTCATGAGGCCAGATCAGATAGTGTAAATTGACATAACTTCACTAGAGCAGCATCAGTTTACAGCAGCTCAGAATCTGGTCAGTTAATGATTATGCAATGGTCAGACATTATGTGAGGGAAGCCATAGTTGTAGCTAGGTAGATGTGAGTGCCCCTTTCTTTCCAGTTTTGTTGTAGGGGTGGAAGGATTATATATAGAAATTTGATCCTCCATATTTTTCTTTCCGTACTTTCATGAACACTTTTGTCATTCATCCAAGCACAAGTTGTTTGTCCATCGGTTGTCTATGTAACTCCTTAACATGCTTATTACATTTGTGTACCTGTACTTAAGTGTGATTTCAAAGATAACAAATCCTCACTTTGATAAAACTATATGCAAATTTTCTCACAGAGGGAGAACATTCAGTGTTCCTCATTTTCTACTGAGGATATAAGACTTTTTTGTACGTGTTTTTGAAATTTTAAATCAGAATTAAAGATTTTATTTGCCTAGTGGGAAAGCAGTGGAAACACTGTCCACTTGACTTCCACTCAGAGCATTATAGATTTACAGATCAATTCTGTGTTTGAATTAGCGTCAACATGTTTGGATATGTGGGTGAGACATCTTATAAGCATAAATATGGCACTTTGGAATCATTAAAAGAAAAGCATGCTTGTGTGCATATAATGTGCAGCAAGGTTTAATTAATAATTTTGGATTTGCATGACCACTTCTTACCATATTTTGGGGGTGGAAGGTGACCAAATAATTGGAAAAAATGATGTTTTTGTCCGTAAAAGGTGATACCCATAAGAGAGCCTGAAAAAGATCCAGTGAATAGGCTCCAGTAAAAGAGCCCATTCCCCAAATATAGCATGTGGTACAGCTGACAAAGCACGTCTAACAGCCACCAAAAATTGCTGCTGCTTTCTTCTTTACAAATGTAAACCATGTAGACAAAACATTGAAAGCAGAGAGGTGGGAGGAGAATGGGGAAATGTAGAAATTCCATTGCTGGCTATTTGCTCTTGTCTCCACTTCATAGCCATGAGTTTAGCTTGGTCAGAATCAGGTACCGTATCTCTGCACAGTTGTGCAGTCTGAAGGTTACGCTTTCATTAGCTTGTCCACATGGAGAATCTCGAGACCTTTCCTGTAGAGATCGGGGAGACTGTTGCTCCCTGTTCTCTTTGCAGCCTGCTAGCTCTCTGTAATGCATTTTATCTCCCATCTTGCCATGTGCCTAGTGGATCTTTCAGGACTCTGACAGTCATTTTTGAGATAAAGATCGGCCCTTTGCAACACGTTGGACTACAATGTTTTTAATGTGCTTAGAAGATTAGTATTATCTCTTCTCCTGCATGTAAATTGTCTTGCAGTTTACGGACAAACCTTCCCTAGCGGGGGTTGTCTAGTGTCATACACCATTATATTTAATGGAGGAAACATTAATGAAACATCCCGGCTGACTCTTTATGTGTACAGCCGTCAAGCAGTTCAAAGCTGGGATTTCTGCAGCAGCTGTAACTTGGCTCATCGGTAGTACTTTTGATTGCTCTACATGGTGTTAACTTGAGTGGCTATAAGATGCACGTGCATAATGGCATGGTTACCATTGCGGTGGGAACCGTAACTGAATTTTCTGGCTTCTGTGCTTTCTCGCTGCATCCCTGTCTTTCACACCTCTCATCTGGCAGCAGGGTGACATTCACTCCCTGCTCTGAAGGACAGAATAGAAATAGATCGTTCCACGCCACAAGCAACAAAACCCTGTGCCTCCTTGCAATTTGTAACCCATTATGGCGTGGGTGTCTGGGAGACCAGGTCTGTGAAAGTCCAAATACTTTTTTTTTTTTTCAGATTCAGAGTTCGTGCAGGGCCAGAACTTATCTATTTCCCCATGTTTATCCACCCCCCACTGTTCCTCAGACGTTCTTGTCAACTGCTGGAAATGGCCCACCTTGATTATCACTACAAAAGGTCCCCCCCCACCGCCTCCTGCTGGCAATAGCTCACCGTAAGTGATCACTCTGATTACAGTGTGTACGGTAACACCCATTGTTTCATGTTCTCCGTGTATATAAATCTCCCCACTGTATTTTCCACTGAATGCATCTGATGAAGTGAGGTGTAGCGGACGAAAGCTTATGCTCAAATAAATTCATTAGTCTCTAAGGTGCCACAAGTATTCCTTTTCTTTTTGCGAATACAGACTAACACGGCTGCTACTCTGAAACCTGTCACTTATCTTTTGGACATTAATTAGCCATTTAAATTCTTGCCCTTCCCAAATTCTTTTGGTTTCATTGCACTTGTGTGCTGCTTATTTCCTAGACCCCATAACGAAGGGTGTAATCCAATGCACACTGAAGTCAATGGGAATTTTTCGGGTGACCTCAGTGTGCAGGTCCCGAACTCAGAGTCCCTCCAAGCGTTTCCCATCACGGAGAGAATAGATCAATGATACAGAGGAATTTAGAAGTCCTTTCCACATGGTAAATTGTCCCTGGGCTGCATATCAGAGGGAGTCTGTTACCAAGATGGGATGCAAGTGTGTGTGTCTGGGGGGGGACTGTAACCACTGATAAGGGCTCTTAAGGGGTGTCTCCTCGAGCTTAAGTTTACACCTTCCAGTTCTAGCAAAGACACACTCTAAATTTCCTCTAGGATGGCTTGCAGTGGGTACCACAGACAGCAGGTTCCAGCCTTCACAGCAAGGGCCTTGTTGATACCTGGTGGCCCTGGTGACTTCTTCTTACTAGGTATACTACATCCTGGATCCTTGCAGGAGGAGGAAAGGAGCTGAATCTAGCAAGGCTCCTATCTATTCTGATCAGGGACAAGTTGAGGGTTCAGGTAATTATCTTAAGACTCCAGTGCCACAGTGGCTGCACAAGCAGATCCTTCGATTCTCTCCAAAGCAGTACCCTTAATTAGCCAATCCCCGAGGGAGGGGTGAGCAGCGGTCTCATTCTGTGTCGGGTCGTTGCCATGACTGCTAAATGTTTCATAAAGACACCCAGGACCAGTCCAGAAGGTAACACTGAATTAGTAATGCTGTTCCCCTGTGGGAAATCGGAGATGGTCTCTTTCTCCTTTCCACATTTCACTTCCCTCATCCTCAAGTTCCGTCTCCCTTTACCCACCCTCCTGTCTTCCTCCCAGAAGTGCTTCCTCTCCCTCTCTTCAAACCCAAGTGCCCCACCCAACAGATATACAACTAAGTTTTGGTAACAAATCAGAAACAAAAAAGTTCCACATCTTTTTCTCTGACATGTTGTGGGCCTGGCATCCTCCCGAGTGCTCTACTTGCATGTGGCATCCCTTTCTTCCTACCTTGTATCTACTTTTGTCTTTTTCCATTGTAAGTTCTTTGGAGCAGGGACTCTCTCTCTCTGTTTGTACAGGTCCTCGCGCGGTAGATCTTGATTTGGGCACAATCTCAATACAAATAGTTGATAAGAACAACACTGTATAACCCTGTGTGTGCGTCAGTCAGGCCTGGAATGCGTAGCTGGTCAGCTTCCTCCAGAAGAGGTAAAATTTCTCCCTGGGAAATCTTTTTAATATTACCGAGCTCCGATATAGCACTTTTCACCAGTAGATCTCAAAACGCTCTACAAAGGAGATCAGTATTATTCTTTCCAGTTTACAAATGGGCAAACTGAGGCACGGTGTGAGGAGGTGACTCTCACAGCAGGACAGTGGCAGAGCCAGGAACAGTACCGAGGTTTCCTGAGTCCCGCTGAATGTAGTAGCGTGTTCCAGTGAGGATCTGCTGGAACACGGCACTACATGCAAGGCACAGCCTCTTGTAAATTACATACTCCTTCCCGGCACCAGAGCCAGTAAGAAGGAAAGTACGAATCTATTACTATCCATTTGGTATTGCGCCAGATTCTTTCCCACACTATGGGAACATAAAGGTCTCCAGATCTGGCCTTCTGGACATTCCCCGGATATAGCACAGAGAGAGCTGGCTTTCGTTCCCTGGCAAAGGGGGCATATTAAGGATGTAGCCAGGAGGACAGGGCGTGTGCTTCAGTGATGTCCCAGCTGGTATACCAACCCTTTCTGGAGATTGAGTGAGCCTAGAACTCGCTGAGAATCTGGGCCATTGCATTTCTTCTGCAGTATTTTAGACTCATTTTTCTAATTTAAAGAGTTTTTAAAGTGAGAAATTTTGAAATGAGGGTGGTTGTTGGTTTGGGGTTTTT